TACACAAAATCAGTTATTAGCAGGAGAGTTAATTAGCGCGGGGTCGAGAGCAAATTAGAAAATGTTTCACACAGACAGTTCACAAAGACAGTTCACAAATGTTTCACACAGACAGTTCACAAAGACAGTTCACAAATGTTTCACACAGACAGACAGTTCATTTGATTCATACCATTTCTGTCATCACCGGAGCTTCCATAAATACATATAGATCATCTCTGTTAATTTCGAGCTGCGTTTGTAAGAGACACTCCTTGAACTCGGTACATCGATGCGGTTAGAGAGCTCAGCCGTAATCGACGAACACTGCTCTACTCTCGACACCAAGACGAGTAACGACCTTCCCTCGGGAACCGCTCGGCAATGAATTCTTAGACGAACGTGGAATGATGGCAGGTATAGGAATGCCGGAATAACGCATGTCATGATGACTTCGGCCACTGAAGAGAAACTTTTCTAGAGCTTATTTGCCGATGGGCACTGGATGAGAACTGATTTGGTTAATTTTTCTCATACAAATATATGTGATCATGAACTACTTTCCCCCTTGATAGCGCTCAAATTCTTACAGTTTTGCGTTATAACTAAAAATCCTCGAAGCATGTGTTTTTGGACTCTGTAATTGGAGCTTGGTTAAAAAAGGGAATCTTCTGCCGAAAGCCTCTTCAAATTTGAACAGCACCTTAAATTAATTATAGATTTTTGTTTAATATTCAGCTCCCAATTCACAAGCTTTTTCGAAAACGTGTCAAGAAATTACGCAAAGAAAATGCTTTCCCGGCTGCATTCCAAACAACAATTATCATTGAGAACTTATCAATGTTCAGTTCGCATACCTAATTTGTAGCCGATGCTTTTCTTATTTAATTGTCATCTCAAGATGGAAAATCATACACCTGTGCAATGATCCACATAATTAAATATAATGCCATGAAAACAATATAGTCATTTTAGTGATTTAACTCTCAATCGCCGTTATTTAACAATGATTTTCCAGAAGTGCAGCAAAAATTATAATCAAAGCTTTACTTTTGCGAGATGGCGCGCTTTATGAAATTGATTGATATAATGTGGATGATTACTATAATATGCAGGTTTTATACTAAACTAAGCGATTTCACAGCTTGTAATAGAGTATACAACGTACACCGAATTAATGATCATGTTAAAAACACTTAAACATGGAACTATGAATGCTTCGTCACGTTCGACACCCACGAGTGTTCCACTTCGACATGCCTGCCGTCATGGAAACGTTTTGACCCAAGATGGCCTTGCAGGTCGGGACCCGAAATGGTTCACGCCTCGCCCCTGCATGGAACATCTTTGTGGCAGGTCTCACACGCCCTCTTGTGGTCGCGCTGAAGGTAATGACATCTGAGAAAACCCAACTCTTTTTACGGCCTCTATGATATTGGTTAAAACAGACCTCAATGGATACATGTTTTAAACGCCGAATATATGCCTGACAAACATCAGTGAACTCGTTTCTCAGGTCAGGCCAATTTACGCCGATAGCAAGTAATTAACGCATTTATCATGGTAGCTTGTGTCCAAATTACAAGTTTAATACGAAATTGTTTTGTGTAAGTTACTAATTTATTCATGAAATTTGAAAAGTTTTGAGGAAGATTGATGACGGAATTTCTATTGGCAACTGCTTAAAGTCGCAGTTATAAACCCTTTCAGTAATTAAATATTAAATAATTTTCAAGTTTTTCTTGCCTTGCTGTTGCAAAACAGTTTTAAAAAAACTTAGGAGTTACAAATTTTGTTATTGCTGAAGAAATAGGTACTACTAATTCAAGCTGCCACACTACAAAAGACACGTTCATACTTCTACCTTCCTGAGCTGAGCGATTCATCATTTGTACTTCGGGTTACCGTGGTGGCAAAATGGGTCTTGGCCTCGAAGATGAACGCCTCTCTTACGGCCACAAAATTCCGATACAAAGATATTTTGTTTCGTAAAACCCTGGCGCCCTGAGCCGTGTTCTTCATTTTTAGGCATCGAGGTCACTATATATGCTTCGACGGGCGAGCTGAGCGAGTTTTGAGGTTAGGGGTACAAAAAACTTGTTACAGTCGTACAGCAATTAAAGAGCATTACATAGAGGAAAGGCTGGAGCAACACTTACTCGATCTCTCAACCAGACAACACACTGAAGCAAGAGGAGCTTATTCGCGTTGATAGCCGCAGTGATAGCTCAGTGATGGTCAATCGTCAGGTCTTAATTGGCTACCTGCAATACCTGAGGCAGTTAATGGGTAATAATATAGGTATTATATCTGTTTTCTAAGGAGGTCGACATCTAATCTGATATCGCTAGAACACATTTTAAAACGAAATGCAATACGGACTATCGATTAAACCGTCACACAGGTAGTCACGATTTTTTATTCGAAAAATTGAATTCCCTAAAAATGTGTCAAGAGGACCCATGAGGTTTATTACGACACATGTCTGTAATTCTTGTACTAACTTTTTGAAACTGTCAAGTTTTGCTCCATATTTCTATTTGAGATTAAGAATGAGTTTGCTTCCAAAAATCAGGTTTACCATTAAAATTCTTCTTAGAAGGCAAAGTCAATTCAACAACGAATAGCAAGGGCGCCTCAATCAAACAGCAGGGTGCCAGGTTTAATGGAAAGACATTGTCTGCATTAATTTCGCTGCAAATTATTTGCGAATGGGGTATTACAAATTTCAATAAGACAAGAATGATGGAGGCAGCGTCTGTCGCTTTTTGCATGTGGGATGAAATGCCTAATGCACACCAATAGAATGCACCCGTCAGTTCTCATTTCGCTGAAAGTTCTGAAATTAAATTGACATGAGCGTTTATTCAAATATTCGTAGCTGAAGCATGCACAAGATATTCAAATTAAACGATCGTCCAACTTCGACACGTAAAAAATGTTGCCTGACTTATGAAAACTAAATAATTTCTTCTTCCCCTTATGACAGCAAATAAAATTTCAAGCATACACAAGCTGATAAGATTCAAGTCCATAATTAATTTTTTATTGAAACGTGAAGCAAAATTATTTCGTGAATTGAAAATAGACTCCAAGTTACCCGTTTAGAATTAGCGTTTATTGTTACCCTTCACCTAATTTTTGCTATTAAGCATAATAACGACCTGCGATACAGGCGGGCGTCGATAAAAAGAATTGAGAGCAATTTCGTCCTGAGCCTTAACATCAACGCATGACTTTAAAGTCATAATATTTAGGCCTCGTAGGCGCAAACTTAGTCGTGACCAGGGCCTATACTTTCAAAAAAAGTTAAGAGATCGTAAGTTCATCAGCCAATCATTGACGGCCTTTCAAGCAAAATCCACAAATCATTGACAAGAAAATAGATCGTAAGTACTTACGTTCACTTATAGCGAGTTGTGAAAGTATGGCCCCTGAATACGATTAGATTAATTTCTTGTACGATAAATTGACAAAAAAAATTATGTTCATCCGTTGGTTCACTTATAAAATTTGAGGAGTGAGTTGATCAAATTGATAATGTAAACCTGCAAGCAATTGAAATATTTATTCAAAATCATGATAATTTAAGATGTGGATGATTTATGCTACTACGATCAACATTCTAATTTAATCACTCCACTGAAACTAAAAAACTTTATTAGTATTGTGCCTGATTTATTTGCTATTTTTCTGTTATACCGAAATAAAGAGTACTTCAGAGGCGAGCGTTAATAATTGGGAGCGCCCGTGAAATGTTCAAGGCTGAACGAAAAAAAATGCATCGCACAATTCACAGCGCATTGCTATAATAATAAAAATCGTAACATATAGCAGGCATTTAAATTTACCAATTCAAGTAAATGCTCACGCAGAGAATTTAATTGCAGCCAATTATTATTCGGTTCATAATTATTTAAGATATTCGAAGTTCTTGCTTCATTTGCAGACAATGCTTATGAAGATCGACGACCGATACTTTTACTGGTGTTCATGAATAAGAATTTATGCCCGAGCCAGAGACGCGCTTAACAGATCACAACTGCTTCATCTATTGCCCCTGATGCATAATAAATGTTTACATGGAATTTGATTAAAGAATTCATTCTCACTCGCATAGTCTACTGGAAAATATTGCAATTGAGTCGAGTGGAGTTCTAATGGTGTCATCTATAAACGCAATTAAGAAAGCCTCACTTAACTGCCCTTCAATGCCACGAATGTTAGAAGGACTAATTCTGGAATCTGCTTCACCCTAGAATAAAATGGACATTGAGTTAAATATTTTTCATTCATAATTTTCTTGTTATGTTAATCTTAAGAAGAAATTTATATTCATGGTATGTACAATCGCGTGTTTTCTGTACTTGCATGGCCGCAGGAACGCCTACCAAATGCCAATCCTATCTATTGAAAAAAATCACACTTTTCAGGCTCTATAGAAATCACTTTCAACTGTCTTCTTGTATTGCTTATGTGATATTACGTTTCGCTGAATAACTTGTTTGGTCTCTAACATTTTTGAGGGTGAAAAATAACTTGAATTATAGCTGCGAACATTAATTGCGAATCTACGTTCCAGAATTGAGTAAGAAAATACTTCCTTTTCGATTTGTACCCGCAACAAAAGACATCGTTCTTATTCGTAGAAACAGGAATGAAACATCGAAATTGCTCTCCCTTTAATGATATTACATTTGTTACCGCTGAAAGAACACAAGCATACAATTATTCGTTTATCTTACGATAAAATTTTAGGGGTTCCAGGATGATCCAAATCGGAGATCATCTTAGAAGTCAGCCCTATAAAGCGTATCTGGCGTTGGAACAGTCTGGGGAGGGAGGTAGCTGGTCTCCGGGGCCCTGAAAGTATTCTGGACAATTGCACGGGTCTGCTGGGGCTCGACATAGGCGTTCGTGGGCTCGTCGTACCGTTGAGGAGCTTCGTAGGGTCGGGCCTCTCCTTCGTAGGTTACATCAGCCTGGTAACCTTTGTGGTCATCCACCCTGTAGGAGACGATCTGGGTGCGGCCGTCGGGGAGGAGGACGCGGTACTCGCCGGTGGTCACCTTGCCATCGGAGTTCGTGTTGTGGCCGAAGTCGATGCCATTGTGAGCGTCGCTCACTCCATAACCATATCCGAAAGGCATGGGTTTCTGAAGTATAACAATTTATCATTGTTAATAAGCATCAGATATATTGCGCTCATCTAAAATTCAACAATAATATACGCTGACCGTAATTAACTTTTGTTAGAAGCTTTAGAATTTAAACGAACAAATAAGAAATTTTCAGTACATTAAAATCTGAATTTATATTGAAATTTAGTTCAGAAAATGATTCTTTACTCTCGTTAGAATTACCAGGTTTTCTTGCTGATGGTTGTAGCTGGGCCTGGAGGCAGCGTGGGGCGATTTCCGATTCTGAGATTGAGGAAAGCTATGAAACTGTGACTGAGGGGAGCCGTAAATTTGAGAGTGGGATGAGCCGAGAATGTGGGAGTTAGGTGACCCAAGAACTTGTGTGTGGGTGAGAGCCTCTTGGGGAAAACTAGGGCGCTCGTGGTTTCTATTGGGGGGAATCAAAGCGGAGTGGGCAGGGATAAAGGTAGAGTGAGAAGATGCGGAGGCTTTCTGGGGAGGAATGTAGTAAGTCGGGGCTGTAGGATTGAAATGTGTGGCTGGAGGATCGTAGTTGTAACCACGATGACCAGGCAACTTCTCTGCCACCGTGAGGTAGGCCAGGAAGAGGCAGCACAGAGCAGCAAGCTAAAACAACAATATTGACTTATTATTTTATTTATTTATTTTTACTATTTTAATCTTAAAATGATCTGTCGCAAAAAAATAAGGTTTTATCAGATGAATAAATGAAATAAATTCTGCCTAGAATACAGCGGTCAAGAAATCAAAAATTTATTTTTTTAATATCTCAAGGCTTAAAAGTACGGAATTTTGAAGAAAATGCCGCTGTGATTAAATATCATTTTATTTATTATATTGATGATTTCATACCAATGCACTAATGTTTGAATGAAGGAGTTATTTATTAAATAATGATAACGTAAGATCTATCTTTTAACTTAAAATTTGATGAACGAACTAGTCTCGAAGCTCAGTGCAATTTAAAATGCTAGTGAAATATAAATTATTTTGAAAAATTATTTTAATTTCAATCATAATGGTGATCATCTGAAATTGCAAATGAAATAAAATCTCTTAATCATTTCTAATTTTGTTGCACGGTCTTCATTAGCAGTAATCTTATTCTGATCACTCACTTGTAGGCTAGTCATCGTGATGAAGCGGATTGTGTGACTGTGAATATCACATCCGCAGCCACCCTACATATACCCGTCCTCAGGGTCGTACGATATCACGCCTTCTTTTTCACGGTCTTCGTACGACAACTGCATGCACGCGGAGCTGCTCTACCTGCGCACAGCGCTCATTTTCTCAGGTAAAATTAAGTCCAATTAAAAGTGGAGACCTTCTCGGAAAATGATTCAAATTCTTTTAACAAATCTCTGCTGAACAGGCACACTTATGTATAAAATAAAGAATCATTTAACTTCTTTATTTCATTTTTTAAGACGTGAATCCAGCGGAGATTTTTCAGATAAGATTCAGATTTTGCACATTAATCGGTGCAAATCGAAATCGGAGATTTCAGATTTTGCACATTAATACTAGTTCTAAATCCAGTCCATAGCTGAATGGATGCTAAATTAGCGGTAATGTGTCGGGGTGCATGTCAGCATCCACTGCATGTTCCTGACTTATTGCAAAAGTCTTATTTTTTATGATATAATACCGTGAATAATGATCATAAACATACATATCATAAATATACATAAAAGATACAAATCAATAGAATATAAAATTAAAATACATAGTTTTTTTCATCTACGCTAAAAAAACTAGTTCCTCAATGAATCTATGCGTTGTGATTTCTCGTTTGAAATGACACTTATTACAGTCACTTCTATAATATGTTCAGATGAAATATCAAGGGCCGCTCGTGTGCACATAGATCATAAGAGAAGAATATTGGAAGAAATGAGCAGATTTAACAATAACATTGAGGGACTCCGCGAGGTGATGTCGATCTCATTGAAAATAGGCTGAAGGTGACAATAATAGAACAGGTAAGTATTTCGTGAATATAAACGTTTTGGGGTGTGGCGTCTGGACAAGGTAAGGCATAGCCGCAGGCAGGTATGTAAGCTATAATCTATCGCGAGTGATATAGGGAACACAACCCGCATAATATCACGAAAATGAGTTCCTGTAATATACTTTGCAAATTTATGATACTTTCAAGAATGACCTTTGATAAAATTTAAGCTTTATGACAATTTTTCAGAGACCAGCATACAGCAAGTAGTATGTTCTGTTGGAGTTATCTATTTTTGCTAATCTACAATTTACGGCAAGAACTATAACACCTGGACAAGTATCTGAAAATTCTTTCATGAAAAAGCCTGCATCGTTGATGCACGGTTCTAACGTTTTTATATATAAAAAAAAAAACTTCCCTGCAGCACCTGAATCAGACAATAAGCCGAACAGACGACCAAATAAACGCTTGTCTATCACACTCACCGACTTCCTGCGGCATTGTAAAGACCGGCGTCACGTGACGTGAACGCCTCTATACGGCCGCGGTGAAATGCTTGACCGTGATGGCCGAACAATGAGGAATGCGTGACGAAACGATGAAAAATGTGCATGGAGGATATCCACCTTAAAACCTGAGATTTGCTTCCTCATTAATTCATTTATAGACAGACAACTTTTCGTCTTCCGGTATAAAAAAATTATTATTTGACCGCCCACTTGGATGAACATGTAGGAGAACATTACTCAGAGAACGGGGCCTGTACTTTCAAAAAAAAAGTTAAGAGATCGTAAATTCATGAGCCAATCATTGACGGCCTTTCAAGCAAAATCCACCAATCATAGATAAGAAAATAGAGCGTAAGTACTTACGTTCATTTAGCGAGTTTTGATAGTTATGGCCCCGGAGCTTTGTCTTTTAGGTAGATCTTCAATATGCGATAAGCAAGATTGGCGTATCATTTCCCAGAGGATTAGAAAAATTTTGTACATATGGTTAACAAATTTTCATGTAGGGATCTCAGAAGGCTAAAGAAAAGTAACTTTTCGTTTGCACTCTTACAATCCATAAACAAACAACTACTCCTTATTGGAAACAAAATGGACAGACAGCAAATAAAGTCCATGCATCAATGATTTGGGAGTGAAAAAATCTTGCATAAACGTGAATATATACGATTCATTGTTCGCTAATGCGTATTTTTATAGACGTAATCTTCAAGGGTGGATAACATAAATTAAATTACAGCTCCATGACGAATATCTTTTTGCAGACAAAATTCTACGAGCTTGAGGAGACAGCTCCTGGCGTTTTAGAATAGCCTTGATAAAGTACGGCGGTGAATCGCCGCACTTTAATAGTCATAGTTGCGGTCATCATTCCATGAAGCCAAGTTATTCAATTCCGTTGTATTAAAACATCACACCCATGCGCTGCAATAGGACGCTGAAAACAGTTTCAAATGCCATATGAACAGACGATGCGCGCATCGTCATTTTCCATCATGCAGCAGATCCTTACAATTATTCAGCTGGTGGAAGCCCACATAGTTTGCCCATCACAATTATAAGTGATCTCTAAACCACACTTGACCGATCATCTTTAGACAAACAAGAATAAGGAGCCTAATGCTAATGGATTGCTTTCCTAAAGATATATATTGCTTTCCTAAAGATCATATATTGGTTCCCTAATTTAATTTATCATTTCAATGTCGTACAATTGCAAAGGTTGCCAAATCGTGCTCGAGCAGGGAAATCAAGAAACGATCAGGAATATTAAGCGGCTTCTTTCTGGAACTGTTCTTGTGATGAATCGATGGTAAATTTGAGTTGAATGGGTCGGACATTGCGTGCTAAGCTCCCTTCTTGGAGGCAGAGTTAGCGACTGCTTGCACGCTCTCGGAACACATGCATCGCAAATGATTTATGTACAGCGAACGCGTCATGAAGCAATAATGAGCACAATCTCTCATCAGATACCATGAAGTATCGAAAAAATATGGTAACCTCCCTTACGCCATAAATTTTGAGGAACTTTGGGTCCCTAACTTCTGAGATTTTTTTCACAACAGTTTAAGCATTAAATTCTATCGTTGACCTTAGTTTCCTCATTAGCAGAGAGCTTGAAATAAAGATTGTGAAAACCCAGACAGTGATATATGCTGACACGTTTTTATATGAAAAGTCCTATAACAAGTGGCCGAATTTTTACCAAATAGCTCTTCGTACTGAAGAGTTGCTGACACGTGTACACACGTTTTCAAGCTAACGAAATATAACTCCATTGCAGACCTGATCCAGCGATATTCTTTTCCATGTCACGCAGACGTCGGATCCATCTTACGTCAGTCAGACGTGGCTCTGCCGACAGCCTGACTCTTCAATAAAAATCCGTAAAAATATAAGTGAACGCCAATAATGCTTGACCGTTTGTTGCGCAAATGCATGAAATAATGCCTCTTAAATATTTTTAGAAGCCATTCAAAGTTTGAAGATTTCATGTTGTATAAGTTGATGGGATTTTTGCATGTCGAATGAACATTTTGGTCTAGTGTAGTAAATGTACATGTCTGAGATTGTTACACATACTTACGTGACGACATGACTGCACAGCGTGGCATTGATGCAAGCGGACATAGTTAATGAATTTAAGCTCCAGCGAGCGAGCAGTTCTACGAAGCACTTTCATTACATGAGGAGAATAAAAGACGAGCTTCAGGAAAATGCCCACTGGCGTAGTACGTGCCTCCCTCGGTCGGGCCAGTTGAAGACCTGAGGTCATGTCACGGGAGCGGTCATGTCACTCGTTCGATTAACAGCCAATGAGGTTGTCGAGTCATTGCTTCGCTGCAAGTAATTGCTTAGAAATATCTCAGATCTAAAGGTCGAGGAAGACAGTTTCGAACAGTTCATTTAATAGTTTTAATGGTTTATTTGATGTGTCACCTATCGGACAACAAATTGCATGATAGCCATGCAGTAAACAATAAAAAATTGGGTGGCCATATACACCTCTTTATAAGAGAAATTTCAACACTACAGCAATTCACCATTGGCAATGATGAATTGTAATTATTATTCATTATTAATTACTATTCATTATTCCTTATTATTCATTCATCAGAAATTCGTCGTTATTATTGAAATTCGCCATAAAATTTCATCATTGCTTGATGTGCAAAGGAACCAGAGAAATGATGCTGAAATCAATTCAAAATTCATGGCGAATCACCGGTGAAAATACTCTAGGTGACCTTAGGCTGACTTCCTTTCAAAAATTAAGACCCACATCGAATAAATTTCAATAAAATTTAGTCACAATGGAAGCTGCTCGGGATAATATCACGGACTATTAAAATACGTATTTTTGCCTCTTAAATAAAGTGCGCTATAGCCATCCACACATGTGTCTTGTAGTCCAAATCCGATTTTTTCGCGGTAAATCAAACGACTCGGTACGAATTACACACACAATGACGAGCTCGGATCCACTTTAAATATTTTAATCAAGTTTTAAAAGAGATTTGCCATTGGAATTCCTAGATATTTCGTATACCGACGGTTCGGGAGCGCAGGAGTGGACAAGCCTTGAAGTAACACGACTTCCTGAACTCCCATTAGAGGGAAGACGAGGTCGTTCTCGTCGTCACATTCAGACTAATGAGCTGAGTAATGAGATCACCACACACCGAACTCTTTAATTCATTTGAAAATTCTGTAGAGAACTACCTCGTGCTGTTTAAAAAATGTTTAAAGTTCAGGTTTTCGTAAACCAATCAAATTTGAAAAATTCTTTGTACCTACAACACCTTGATTTCCCCTCAAAAATAAAGAAATGCTTAATAATTAGATGGGAAGGCTGACCGTATTATATTTTTGTCTAATCATAATTATTGAAGGGAGATAACCTTATGACGAACCATATTTTATCAGCTCATTTTATTGATTGAATATCTTTTATCATAGGTTTGAAAGAATTTGGTGTTTACATAACACCGGTGAAAATACTTTACACTGAGTGAAAGCAAGTGCATCGAAGCAAGCTTGCTAGGCCAGCGAGCAAGGATCGTATGCAGCAGCAATTGATAGAATCTAAACAATTTTCATTGAAGCTTCAAACGCTAACGATGTGGCCAGGCCAGCATGGCTAGCACCGTGGCCGCAGTTTAACGCATGGAGGCCTGCTGGGCCACCGTCAATCTTCTGCAAGACG